TCTTTTGTCCCTGGGAAGCCATTGGAGGGGTTATGCATGGGCATGCCCAACTTTTTTTTTTTTTTTTTTTTTAATAAAATTTGCTTTGCTTTGGTTGCTGCGTAGAGGATGGATTATGGGGGCCAAAATAGAAGCAAGAATAGGAGACTGTTGTAGGTGCACTTGAGATGCGGAGGCTTAGACTGTGGGTGGGGCCCTGGAGATGGGGAGGTGGGCGGAGGGCAGAGCCAAAAGGACTTGACGATGGATTAGCCGTAAGGTCAGAGAAAAAGAGGACCCCAGGGTGACTCCTGGGATTTTTGGATTTGGCCAGTTAAGGAGAGGATAGTGCAAGTTATAGACTAGGAAGATTGGTAGAGAAGTGGTTTTGGGGAGGTGCCAAGTCAAGAGTTTGATTTGGGTCCTGTTAAGTTCGTGATGCCCATTAGACTTTCAAGTGGACGTGTCAGGTAGAACATGGATTTACAGAGTCTGGAAATCAGGGTAAAAGCCAAGGTTGATATACAAATATGTCAGGGAGTAAAGCTTCCACCTGGTGACTTTAGATTCTCGGCCCTGGTGGGAAACAGTAGATGCAGAGCCCCAGAAATTTTCCAGACCAAGGGGAAGCTGACAGCACCCCATCATAGGGGGTCGATGCAGTGACTTGTGTATGACACTCACATACGAACTAATACATCTGTAGATAAAACAAGTGTGTTTTGCTCTGAACTAAAGGTGGCATCCACTCAAGATCCAGATGCTCCAATTTTCCTACCTCCCCGTTAAAAGATATTAAATTTTTATTAATTAAATTTTAATGACTTAATTAAGGTTGTGAAAATTAATAAGTTCTTTTTATCTGCAGTACAGACCAGGTTTAGCAGAGAGCAACTATATCGTTTTTGTAAATTAATTTGGTCAGTAATCCTCCATAGTTGCTAAATCCTATTGCTGTTAAGCCGGAGAAAATGTTACCACAAGATCATGCCTGTTGAAATAAGTGACGTGCTTTGTCACTAGTATTGACAGTCCTTTGATTAAAGAAGGCATATTAACTAGAGAGATTAATGATTGATACAAATGCTAATTTAATTATGACAGAAATGTGTTATGCTTCAGAATTTTTCTTTTATGTGATATTAATTATGGGTACCAAAATCTAAATAAATGCACTACTTTTTGCACATGGAGACTGCTGTATTTATATCTATATTTAACAGTAGGAATTTAAGAATTAGACTTCAGCCAATATTTTTTTATCTCTAAACTATTATGCTACAAGGTGTTACTAATATTTACATTAATGTGGCATAAAGTAAAATTTAGGCATGGTAAATTAAATTTTAATAGAGTAATTTCAAGGAAATTTAAAATGCATAGGAGTTTTAAAAGTAAAGATTCAACAAAAGATGGATTTTACAGGGAGGAATAAATGATGACTTTTTCATTCTTTGTTAGCAGATTAAATAATTACTTTGAATATCCCAAAAAATTTTTTAAATTGAGCAACATTAAGTTAAATATAGATTCTAGCATCAATCGTTTCTAAAGTAGCACTGACGTTGTCTCATTCTTTGGATCACTGTGAAAGTTAATTTTGACCAAATTCTCTGAACATCAGACACAAATTCTTGAATTATACACTCAATTCACTTTATTATCTTATATAAACCATTAATACCTCCAAGGCAGGAAATGACCCATCTCCTAGGAAGGTTGGATGGGTTGAGTCAACAAAAGGCTTTGCAACGTTAACTACGTTAACACGTTAACGTCCTGTAACAAGTATTCAGTTTCAGCTCAAATCATTTTATATGCAGTGCTAAACTGATAAAAATCAATCTATATAATTTTGATTTTCAAAACGAAGCCAATCACTTTCATTCAGGAAATTTTAAAGAATTATGTACCATTTTAATACTGATATTTTCCCAAGTGTAAAATGTTTATACTTCATTAAATTGAAGGATCTTCAAGGTAGGGGAACAAGGCATCCATAGATCGTATCATTTTTCTCTCTTTTCAGATTAAGTTTAGTTAGAGATTCCTCTTTCTGTAAAGAAGGATTATCTCAACAGGCATTTGTCCTTGCGCTTCCCTTGACGAGACCCTCCTGTTCCAGGATCTCTTTGGTACTTGAAGAGGCTACCAGACGAAGACAGTGAACTAGACGGTCTCGAAAGGCTCTCTCAGCTCTAGGACTCGGGCATTCTGTGAAGTCTTCTGTAAACCAGCATGTTTTGGGGGAGTTAATTCACCATAGTCAAACTCACAACAAACTGATGCCTAATCAGAAAAGCCAGCATGTGAAAGTATGGAAAGCCATATGGTCAGGATGACCAGTGTAGGTCATTGGCGTTGGACTTCCTCTCCTGGTAGATAAGTCTATTCTGGAAACCACATATGGGTTTGATAGTCTGAAGCTTTCTTCTATCAAGCAAAGGTGACTTGCCCTTTTCCGATCTAGAGATTTTTGTCCTATCAATTTTCCTGTCTCCTTCTCTGTCTGCTACTTCAGTTCTTACCCTCATCATCCTGGAAATCTTATCTCATCAGTACATATTAACAAGTTATTTTTTGATGTGTTATTTTCTGTAATGCTTCCTACTGATATTTTTTCAATTTGCTGATTCTTGCAAATTTTTCATTTTGGGGGAAGGGATGGATCATTTTCTTACCATGTTCTCAAATCATGGAGTTATGCTTTATTTTGCAGGCATCTATATATTAACTACAGCACACACTTTATTTTAACAAAGTAAACATATTAAATAGACTATTCTGAGAAAAAAAAATTACATCTGCTACTTTTAGCATCTAAATGGTAACCTTCAAATTATAGTCTACTCAATCTGATGAGATTTTGATGACCGTGTTACACATTCTCCTCTGTCTTCCTGTCTCTAGTATTTCACTCTTCATTCTCAGCCTCTGGCTAAGAATCTTGCTTATTTCACTAAGAAGGTAGAGGGATCCACAAAGAACTTCCACATGAACCATCTACTGCGCTAGCATCCTGCCTACACCTACTTCCACGTGCTCCGCCTTCCCTCCTGTTGGCATGTTCTGGTCCCCTGTCCCATTCACCCAACTGCTGAAGACATCATTCTAATTTTTGTGTTCCTCTCTGCATCATCAGATTTTCTCTCTCCGCTGAGTCTTTTGCATCAGCTTAGAAACATTCTGTAATATTTCCATTGTTAAGAAAAAATCTTTTCCTCATCTCTACAGTACCCTCCACTTACTGGCCCATTTCTCCGCTTCCCTTTACGGCAAGACTCCTCGAAAGAATTGTCCGCACCTATATTCTTCCTGTGTTCTCTTGAACCTACTCTCTTCCACTGAGTCCTCTAAAGTCCCATGGAAATACTCTTGCCAGGACCAGCGGAGGCTCCACCCTGCCCAGTTCAGCATCTTGCCCAACCTGACAGCCATTTCTAATACGATTGCTCGCTCCCTCTTGATGCTTTTGTTATCTGGCCTCCAGAACACCACTTTCACGCTGTTACTTTCTTCTTCACTTTTCTTCTCTGTCCTTTGTGTTGGTCCTCCACTGTCTTTTTGCCCTCCAGTGACCTTGAAACATTGTGATTCCTTAGAGTTCTGGTCTTGGATCTCTTCTTTTCTCTATCTACATTTACGACTGCTTCTAGCTTCTTAGCTTTAAATGCCATCTCTATCTTAACAATTCCTCAATGTATGTCTCTCACTCTGACCTGTCTCCTGAACCCCAGACTCATATATGTCCCTTCCTACCCAGTGTCTCCACGTGGGTACCTAATAACCATTGGGGTTTAATAATGTCCACCACTGAATTCCTGATTCCAAGCCTGCTAACCTGCTTCTGCCCCATCGTCCCATTCCCAGAGAATGACAGTTCCATCTGCTAATTGCTCAAGCTCAAAACCTTAAATTGATTCCTGACTTCTGTCTCTTCCTTTCTTTCATACCATACATTCAGGCCATCTGCATGCAAATCTCTTGGCTCTGACCTTCGAAATATATCCGTAATCGAACCACTTCTTACCATCACCATAACCGCTACCCTAGTCCAAGCCATCACCCCATGTCTGGAGTCCTGCTGGAACATCCTAACTGGGCAGTCTGCTTCTCCCCCAACCACCTCTGTCTGTTCTCCATATTGTCGCCAGCGTGATCTTTTCAACACATATATCAGATCGTGTTAAACCCCCCAGTGTCTTTCCGTCTCACATAGACTTAGTGTAGTAGACTTGGCGAGAGCTTGCCAGGCTCTTCATTGCCTCACAGGTCCCCGTCATCTCCTCCTTGCTCCCCGCTTCCACCAGCCTTTCCCGCTGTTTGTCTCTTCTGCCTCACGGCCCTCGCTCTTCTCTCTGCCTAGAATGTTCTTACCCCGACATCCTCATGCCTCGCTCCCTTTCTTCTTTCAAGCCCTTCCTGATCATCCTGGTCAAACTAGCATCTTATCCACCACCCCACTCCCAGCATTCCTAAGCCTGATTTATTTTTATCCACAGCGGTTATGGCCATCAGAGACACAGCACTCTTATTTGTATATTGTCTTTCTGTCCTTCCAAGAAAGAAGTGAAATGAGAAAAGAGCTTTGAGCGTTTTGTTCAATTTGTCTGCCATATGTGTAGAACAGCGCCTGGCTCCCTGAAAACAGCTGTTGAATAAGTAAATGAACACAAGAATAAACGAGGGGAAGAACAGGAACTGTGGACTGGAGTCCTGTCTATATAATGTTAATGTATAACATGTTATAAATCTTCATCAGCCCTAGTATATTAGTCTTGCTTTTCTGATCTTCTTTCTCATCCGTAGCTTATTAGCTAACTTTCTATGCTATATTATTGTTCTATATAACTTTCTATGCTATATTATTAAAATAGAATGTTCTATTGCTTTCTTTTGTTTATTTCTTTATCTCTGGATAAAAAGAAACTATGCATCTGTCTTGAATTATTTTTAAAGCGTGTCCAAAAGTTAAGTTTTCATGAATAACTTGGGTGATCACAAATATAGCTTGTCATGAGACATTTGTCCGGTGTGGGATTTCCTCTAGTGTGAAGATGATTTGGCTGAGAAGAGGAGAAGCAATGAGGTGCTGCGTAGAGCCATCGAGACCTACCAAGAGGTGGCTGGCCTGCCAGATGTCCCCGCAGACCTGGTGAAGCTGAGTTTGAAGCGGCGGTCAGACAGACAACAATTTCTGGGTAAGATGGAACAGGGAGAGTTCATTGAACAGCACATGCCACGCTTTTGTCTTAAAGAGACTGGAGGCTGTGTGTGCTCTTAGAAGAGTCTAGTCACGTGGGAGGAAACCTGAGTTCTATAACTAATGTCAGGTGACTTACCTGACTGTTTCTTAGACTGAAATAGCAAGCCTAACTTTAATCATTCCAGAGATGCAGCCGGTATTTTGACCACCCTTCCCTTCTCACCCCACACCACCCATTTGAAAGCTGAGATGAATGGGATGCTGAGAGGCTGGATAATTTACCCAAGGAATTATAGCAAATAAATTACTCAGTCTGGCATCAAAAACTCCTGTCATGCCAAATTCTTTTCTCTCTTAACTTTAACAAATTGATTTATGCAGGTTGGAATTATGAATGGGACAATTTTTATAGGGGGATATTAGGAGTTCCAGGGACTCTAAAATTTTTAGCTGTAAGGTTTGACTCTATTCCAAGGAAAATGATAAGAGAAGACTTTGATCACTTAGTAATTTGCATGTACTTTGAAAGAGCAACATAAAGATGTCCTCTCTGACTGGCCCAGCTTCCCAGAGCCAAAGGCAGTAAGATGAGCTGTAGCCTACCTTCATTATAGCCAGGCTTGAGATTCTCACCCACCCACATGTCATCAGTAAACTGATGGAGGGGAGAATCTAAGCCACGTGTAACTGCTAAGGTGGGTGAGTAAGGCTGGCTGAGTAAGATGCATGAACGAATTATGGATGTCACTAAGAGAGGCTCATATTAGTAATATTCAAGGTCAACTGACTCTTTCATGAGTTTTCTGAAGGATGGAATTAAAGGTAGTTGTGTCACTTCCGTAGATGACCCAAATCTGTGATAGGAGTAGATGACCCAAGCGACAATTAAAAACTAGAAGAAGTGGTCAGTTAGAGGTAATAAGAGTCAGTCCAGGGGAAGAAAAAAAGTACAGCACACATATAGGATGGAAAAGGCGAGGCTGGGCCTCAAGTAGGGGCACTTGCTGTGGGCGCGGTCAGTAATTACTGAGTCATCGTCTTGCCTCAGGCTCCAACACGGCTCTGCTTAGCATGGGTTAATATTCTGTCACTAAAATTTTAATATTCTGTTCATCATGGACTTTTTTTTTTACATCCATTTTGATTTTTCAAAAGATACATAAAAATCACTCCTCTCGATTACTGAATTCGGGGCACCCTCTTAAATTTTGCTCCGAGTGCCTCACTCACCTCACCTTATTCCCAGCCCTGGGGGAAAGACTGCCTGTGGATAAATCTACTCCTCCTCCACAGTGTTTGAGTTTAGTCTTCTCCTCTGAATGAGGGTGAGGCAAGGTCGCAAGGTCACCGTGAGGAGGGAATTGCGGGCAGGAGATTTCAGTGAAGGTGACGAGGCGGTGAAGCTTACTCACGAGGTTCCGGATGCACAGTGGGAGGGACAGGGAGATGGCAGCAGGAGAGATCTTCACCTGGGGCGTTGTAGTGGTTAATAAAGGGAACTGAGAAGCAGAAGAAAATTGTGAAATTAGTCTGGGCACTAGGGAGAAAGAAGGGTACTGAGTCCGATTTGTTTTGAAAGAATGAACAGCTGAGCAAACCCACCCCAGGTCAGCCAGTAATGGGACAAGTCGGTGATGTTCTGTGCCCGTTAGTTTATCTGCTAGTGAGGTATTAGCTTATCAATGGTCCTGTGATGCTCTTGGCTGATATTCAGTTTGAGGACAACTGAGCCTTTTAGGTAATTAGTTTTGTCACTTATACTAATCTTATACTGCACATTTCCCATATTCAGTTTGTCTTCCCAGCTGTGGCCAGGAGTAATGACAAATGGCCCCAGAAATTCTAAATTTCCATCAGGTCGCCTTGAAAATGAATTGGAGCTAGGGTTTTCATGACCCACGTATGCATGGCATCCGATCGTCCACCAGGGGGTCCCATAATACCAGATGTTGTTTCCTTTGCTCCAGGATAGGTCGCTGCTTAAGAGGAAGACACCCTTAATTGCAAGCAGTGTCAGCAGGGTACCTGAGTGCCTCTTCAGATTTCACAGGGGCTGCTAGACTCCACAATGCTATTAGACTTTTTATTTGTTCTCTGTTCATAATTTAAAAGTGAATAATAATGAACCCCCTCCCCCCCAAAAAAATCTCAGTAAAGCTTTTTTTAAATAAGGAATTGGTAACTAAAACTTACTTAAGAGAGAATTTGACCTAAAACGGTAAATGTTGATGAATTTAGAAAATGAAAATGTCTGTAAAATGTTTATAGTAAGAGTTGTGTTCGGTATCTACTTATAGGAGTTATCGAACCCATTGCAACTGCGTGACGGAATGCTAACGGCCATCTGCAGAGTCAGATTTAAACTGATCTTCAGGCTCTATTGAATAGTCTCTCATGATTTAGTTTCAGTATAAAAGGGTACATAATCTGTTTTTCTTTCTATTGGCTTTTTTTTTTTATTTCTTCCCACCAAATCAGGTCACATGAGAGGTTCTCTTGTTACCCTGCAGAAATTAGTTCAACTATTTCCTGATGACACTTCCTTAAAGAATGACCTTGGAGTGGGGTACCTCTTAATAGGAGATAATGATAATGCCAAGAAGGTTTATGAAGAGGTGAGCAAGCAGCGATCTTCTATTAATGACATCGAATTATTCTGAACATGAAGTTCTAATGTTATTCATAAATGGCATTTAATACACCCAATCTCGCACTGTCCTCATTTTAAATTAAGTTCAATGGAATGTAAGTCTTACGGTAGTTGACATCTCCTAAATATTGTTTTCACATCGCTTTTTTCTCCTTGATCAGAAGATTTTAAATTTTTGTTGACACCGGGAACATCAAAACCTTCAACCTATAATTGTGATACTTTTAAAGTGTCATGTTTATCAGTCCACAAACAACAGCCTTTTGAAAAGCGTTCTTTATGATACGAAGAGGAGCTCAGCTTTTTCCTTTCTTCACTCAAAGCCTGGTCTAGAGAGAGGCTACAGAACGTGTCTGCCCAGCATATGGAGTAAATTTCTCACCTTTCAGATGGCATTGACTCTTTGATCCTCGAGCAATGATGCCTTTCAAAGGATTTCTACCTTATAATGGGTGTTTTAATAAATGACCTCTATGTCACGAGTCATTAAAATCCGGAAAACTGTGACTCCTTCAAGCCATGAGGGAATTCATTTGGTATGGAATAAACATGGATACCAAATGAACTTTGAAGCTGGAGAAAGCTAATGCTTCTATAAAAGAAAGATGAACACATTAATTTATTATTCTTTAATTTAGGCCTTTTGGTCAGTGATTTTCCAGCTGGTGCACTGTACATAAAAATGCTACCTCTCCGTC